CATTTAATTGTTTTACCTCCTGGTGCTCGTTTTTATCTTTTGAATATGTATACACCCAGGAGGCTACGTTCCTCAATTTTTAGGTTAAAATGCCCCTTCTGGGGATTACACTCACTGCTTAAAGCAGTTGAAGGCACAATATAAGACTCTTCTAAAAGAAAAGAAAAGTGCGGCTCTGAAGGAGTCTTGGCATAGACTAATTGCATCAGTCAGGATAAAAAATACATCCCTTTTTTGGTACATCACCAGAGGATTGGGAATCCCCCCCACCTCCAACTAATCAGGTACCGATTCATGCCTGGGAAGAATATTTTAGAGAGCTATATGCAGACCCCGATTATGTAACTAAGGAGAGACAAATTAGTTTGGACCAAACCCCTTACTGGCCCTCTGTTACACTAGGCAAGATATCCCAGTTGATTGGAGCCCTTAAGGCTAATAAGGCACCTGGTGCTGACAATGTCCTGCCAGAAATAATAAAAAATAATCCCAGTTGATGGGCTCCACTTTTAGCATCTCTGTTTACATTTATAGATAAAACGGACCATATGCCAAGAGATTGGGGATTAGCAATTATCATACCAATTATAAAAAAGGTAGTAGAAATGATCTAGGCAATTATAGACCCATTAGTCTTCTGAATGTTATTAGTAAACTGTATGCCAAACACCTAAGCTATAAACTTCAGGATTGGCTAACTTTGGGGGGGGGGGATAATCAAAGATGAACAAGCTGGTTTTAGAGAAGGAAGATCAATGGTGGATCATATTTTGGTATTTCACCATCTAGTACAGCGGTTCTCAACCTATGGGTCGCGACCCCATTTGGGGTCGATTGACCATTTTTCGGGGGTCGCCAAAGGCAGCGATCCGCCATTTTCTCCCCTCCGGGGGTGGCGCCGCGCATGGGGGTGGCGGCACGCCTCTGGGGGGCGCCGCCACACATGCGCACCGCGCATGGGGGCAGCGCCACGCCGCGCATGTGCATAACGTTTGTGTGGCGGGGGTCGCCGTCACACAAACGTTGAGAACCGCTGATCTAGTACAAAAATACACATATAAAAAAATCCTCTCTTTTCAGGGCCTTTCTTGATTTTAAGCAGGCCTTCGATTCAATATCCTCTGGGAGAAATTAAAATGCACTACTATCGATAAACACCTCCTTTTCCTCATACAAAAATTGTACGCCAATTCCACCTTGAAAGTGAGGTGTAATCCTCAAGGAACTTTAACCGGTTCAGTAAGGGTAGAAAAAGAGTTAAGGCAGGGTTACATCCTGTCTTCCTCCTTTTTTAACTTCTATATCAACCCCCTGATCGATCTATTACAGAACCCTGATCTGCATCCTCCTAACCTAGCACATCACAAAATCTCAATTCTTTTATATGCCGACGATGCGGTTATTATTTCACAAACTCCTGTAGGACTGAAGAGAGCAATTAGGGCAACACTTGGCTATTGCAGACAGAACAAGTTGGTCCTTAACTTTGATAAATCAAAAATTTTAGTTTTTGCTAAAAAAAATCCAGCCAATACGCCTGGAAAATAGAAGGACGTAGTTTGGAACAGATTAGAACATTTAGATACCTTGGGGTGGTTTTCCACTCGCAAGGGACATGGGAGGCACACCTGGATCATACATTCCAAGCAGCCAATAGGTCCTCAAATGCAATTATACATTACTTTTACACAGGCAGAAGTCAATTAGTACCTGCTGCCTTAAAACTTTTTGAGGCCAAAACATTGGCGCAAATTCTATATGGGGCACAAACAGGAATCCTTACACAGAAAAACTTACTAGAAACCATACAAATCAAATTTCTGCGAGCCATCTTAGCTGCACCCAAAGGAACCCCAAATGCCCAATTAAGAATTGAGACAGGCATGCCTCAAATCCAGGTAAGAGCCTGGAAGATGATGATCATTCACTGGCTTAAAATGCATTTTTTTCCAGAGGGACTGTCCGCGTTAATGCTGACTGACAACTTCCCCTCCCCCTGGAAGCAGGCGATAGATCATAAACTGGGCTCTTATGGGCTCTCATCGGTGTTCTTAATGTCCCTAGGCCAGTGGTGGCGAATCTATGGCACAGGTGCCAGAGGCGGCACTCAGAGCCCTCTCTGTGGGCACGCGTGCTGCCGCCCCAGTCCTAGGCCTTCAGCTGGGTTTTTTAAAATCTTTTTGCTTTAGGCCTCTGCCGCCATGTGCAAAAAAAAAAAAAGGTTCAATCAATCAATTTCAACTTCTTGCAGGAAAAAAAAGATCTCGCAAAATTGAAATTGATTGATTGAACTTTTTAGTACCACTGTTACCATCACCGCCACGCTCACCCAATGGGCCACGCCCATCCGATAGGCCACACCCTTCCAATGGGCCACACCCACCTGGCATCTGATGATACATAAGTGGGTTTTGGGTTGCAGTTTGGGCACTCGATCTCTAAAAGGTTCGCCATCACTGCCCTAGGCTTTGACCAAGCAAAGCAAGTAGTATCCAATAGAATGAAGAACATGGACTTCCAAGAAGAACTAAATAGGTTGCCTCGCTCCAGTAAGGGTAGAATCAAACAGGGTGTGTGGGAATTGGCAAGATATTTGAATGATCTGACCTTCCCAAAACAAGGAATAGCTTTCTTCAGAGCCAGATTTAACATTCTTCTCTCAGCATTCCTCCAGGGCAGGTATAAGAGAACACCAATGGCAGAATGGGTATGTATATGTGGTAAAGGAGAAGTTGAAGATATCTCATATGTTCTATTGTACTGTGAGTTATACCAAGTTTACAGGTCAGCATATATCCTCCCCTTATTAGAGAGATTAGGGAAGGCAGAAAATTTTTATGTAGGTTTACTCCTCCAGGACTCAAACCCTTCTATCAGGCATGCAGTGGCAAAATACTATGTTGCTGCAATGTCCACAAGAAAAAAAATGATTACAGATTTATAGCCGTCAACTTGTACCAATTTTTTGGAGATATCTAATAATTTTTGGAACATTATATTTACTCACATACTTAGCGGCTTTTCACTCAGGTAAACTAGGGAGTAACCCTAATATTCTGAGAACATGTTATTATTTACTATTAATGCAGTACTATATTTTTAATATATTGTAAAATGTGACATCTATTACTGGTTTATGACAGTAATGAAGTTATTATTATTATTACTTCCTCCTCTTCTTCACTTTCTTCCTCTCCCCCTCCCGGCACCCCAGCTGGGCTCGTGCTCCCTTTGCACAAGTCTCCAAGTTTGCAAGAAAAATGCACGCCAGCCCAGCTTGCAACCGGGGGCTTCTCCAAAACCTTGTTGGAGGGGGATCCCCCCCAAAGTATGTGTTTGTGAGGGTGCTTTCTCAGGGTGCATATAGGGGCAGTGAGAAGCTATCTTTCACTTTAAGCACTGTGTCTTCAAGGGAATCTCCCTCCCTCTCTCTCTCTCTCTCTCTCTCTCTCTCTCTCTCTCTCTCTCTCTCTCTCTCTCTCTCTCTCTCTCTCTCTCTCTCTCTCTCTCGTTTGCACCTTTTCTAAGACCACTGAGTTTTTTTGCTTTTGTTTTGATGCTGCTCCAGGTGCCTCATGTTTTGGCAATTTCCTGCCTGCTTTTTGTGGTTTAATTTGGTGTGTGCATTTTTGTGTGTTTGTGTCTGTGTGTTCATGCTCCTTCATGCAGCTCTCAAGTTTGCAAGTCAAGAGCATTCCTACCAGGCTTGCAATGGGGGAGGGGAGAGGGGAAAAGCTACATTTCCCTGTAAGCACTGTGTTTCTTCTCGCCCTCCCTCCCTCCCTCCCTCCCTCAATGGTTTTCTCTGCACTTCCTCAATGTGCTGGGTCTTTGATTTATTTTGCTGGAAGGCTGTGAGGGAAGCTAGCCCAGAGAAAGAAATATTAAAAAGGGCAGAAAAATATATTTTTCCTCAAAAGGACTTTTTAAAACTAAACCTGGCCCCAAATCTATCTCTCTGGCCCAAGCAAGACTTTAGCCCCATACAAATGCAGATGTAAAACCATCAGAAAGTTGGAGCCAGAGCAATCAAGAAGACAAAAGAGAAGATCTGCATACCCCACCCAAACTCTAGGAGTCATTAGCCCCATCACCTGGGAAGCAGGATATGATAATATATCATATCATATGATATGATAATAGGATAATAGGATTAAACCACAGAAACAGACTCAAAGTTCATGCCACAGGAACAGGAAACTATTCCAAACAAGGCTGGAGGGTATAAAAGCCTACTACCCCATGTGCTCAGCCCTTCTCTGCTCTGCACTTTCCTGAAGAACCATCTTTCTGCAATAAACTGTAACCTTCTTCCCAAAGCAGTCGCCATGTTTGCTTATTTATTCTTGGCTTGGATGAACCACGATGAAGACTTTACTTCTAACAGCTGAGTTTAGGATTGTCTGTTTTCCTTCCTATTTTCTTAGAAGCAGAAAGTCACTGGCCTAATCTGATACTATGTAATAATAATAAAAATAAAGTATTACTGTTTGTTTATTTAGAAAATATAATGCACTTAAATCATCCTGAAACCTCCCCCCCCCAATCCATAGAAAAGTTTTGTTCCATGAAACCGGTTCCTGGTGCCAAAAAAGTTGGGGACCTCTGCCTTAGGCCAGTCACTTTCTCTCAGCCCAACTTATCTCATAGAGTTATGGGGAAACTAGGAGGAGGAAATTGTGTTGAATATATTCAGTGCACTGTGTTATTTATAAAAATAATAAAGGCACAGTATTTTGTGTGCATGTATATATGTGTGTATATACATGCATATGTGTTTTATTCCTTAATAGTACCTTTATTGTTATGTATTTTTTAAAAAAAATTGTTTTGTCATTTATTTTTTGAAATACATATTCTAAAATTATTAAATAATGCTTAATATTATTTAATATTTTATTAATATATTTAATAATATTTTATTAAAATTGCCAGTTTGGATTTATATATTGTTTTCAAAATATCTGTGTAAATAATTGTCATATTGGATTTTTTTTTAGATGATAACCCTATAAGAGAAAGTGACCAAAAAGCATCTCTCTTGCATTTTACCTCAGATCACGCCTATACATTCAAGAAATCTTCAGTTTTAGCAAGAATTAAACCTAGCAGGTATTAAAAATTAAATTGAAAAAATGACACTAGCGCAGTTTTGAAAATGTTGGTGATCATCACTGAAATTCTAGTGGAATTCTTGTCATTGTAATGAGATTGTTTTTCTACTTTTGTTTTCCAACCATATTGGCTGAAAAATTACTTGCAAAAGCTAGAAAACCTTTTGGATTGAGATTGAAAAATAGCATGATAAACTTTACATCTAGATAAAACAAAATATAAATAAAAAGTAGAACTTCCAGTAGTGTTCTATCTGGGCTACACCAGATGCATTCTAAAGTTTCAGGTCTTGATCCTAAACTTTCAATAATTAGCCAATTTTGCCAGATAATATTAATATTATTATATTTTTTGCTTTATTATAATATTGTATATTTTGTATATAAAAGTAAAAATAAATACCTTCTTCATTTTCTATAACTTCGTTGATTTTGTATTCCTATCACTTCTTCATTGCTGGCAAAAAAAGAAAATTCTTGCAGATATTCCAATGCATCAATGTTGCTACTTTGTCATGCCATCATTTGTAGACAGTTTATGCAATCTTCTTGTAATAATAAAATCCAGTACTGTATTTAAATGTAAAAAGCTGGTTACTTACTTACTTTTGGCAGCAAAATTAATTATTACTCAATGCTGGAAATTTTGTGAAATGAGTTTTCTGGATTATTAAAGCTTTTAAAATTACTTCATTGTAAAAGTTAAATAGAATTATATATTTTCAGAGACCAGAATAATTCTTTTATCAAATCTAGACAAATTTCATTTATTATGTTAACCACAGGATCTAAATTTCATAAAGTATCATAATATATAGAAATTATGAATTAATAATTATGAAATTACTGATTCTTTTATTATTTATCACTTTTCTATGTGCTTTTTTCTTACCGCTTTTTATAATTTTTGTTTATATTTTTAATGCAATACTGTTAAAAATAAATTAATAATTATAGAATTGTGGAATGCTACCCCATTGGTTTATTATGGGATGTATGTAAAGATCTCCATCAGATTTCCCAGCATTCAGCTTTATTTAAAGTCTTGAGTTCTAGTGTTAAACAAGAAAGCTTTTCCATTTGTTCTTATTATACATATTTCTATTGGCACATTCAATTTTATTGCTTTCTTTTTTAAGCTGTAAAACTACCATTTTAGTATAGGATAGTACTTCTAGTTCCTTGAACATTTTGTGATTAGACTTCAGATCAGATATCTGATTTCAAAAGTGTGTTGCTTTGAATTAAATTGTGTCATTTGTGGGGTCCTTAGTGCTTTCTGAACTTGATTGTTTTCTTGCAGACATTTCATCACTAAACTAGGTAACATTATTAGAATTTGCTCTCATTTTATATATCTGGCTTGCCCTGTCAGTGCTGATGGGACTGGTCTTGATAATTTTTGATTAGGCTGTTATGTCATATTTTCTCATTCCAGGTTTACTCATCCAAGAGTTGAATATATTAATTCTATGTCAAAAAAGTATCTGGCAATGGATGAGGATGATGAAACAGCCTTACGTCTTATAGCTAAATGTGAATGGGATTTAAGAAAACATGCAAAAATAAGTGAATCATCTAAAAAGGATCCTGAAGTAGACTTTCACAATTTAAAAAGTATGCAGTTTTTGGAATGAGATCTCTCTTTCATTATCCTCTGCAGTGGATCAGTTTATACTACATTGAACTACTGTAGAATTCTGGTTCATTGAATATTCTTAAATACTGAACTATTGATGGCATCAATTTATTGAGAATTTATTAAGAATGAATAGAAAATGTAATATATTGTACAGAGACATAAGAATCCTTGATTCACTTAACTGGGCCTATTCCTTCTTATATTTATTTGCACATTATTGGATATCTCTACATCTTATATACAGTACTTGTTCCAGTCTTTCAACAATACACCTTTCAACTGTATTCTTCTCGTATTTTATGAGAACAATCATTATTGGCCATCTTCAGGTGACCAAATGGCACTTCACAGTTAGTCAACTGTCATTCTCTGTACTTGGTTTTTTGTCCCTATGGACAGTATTATGAGTTTTGTCCCTTTAGTAAGAGTCCCTCATCTCAGATATATATCCTAATATCAGAGAATTCGATTTAGAACATTATAGGTTGTCTGAGTGCTGTTGGGAAAAACCCATAATACCATCCATAGGGAAGAAAGCCAAGTAACAGAGAATGACAGTTGATTAACTGAATTACCATTTGGTCACCTGAAGATGGCCAATAATCTTACTCAATATGATAATATATATATGGTATAGTCCAGGGGTAGGCAACCCAAAACACTCAAAGAGCCACTTGAACCCGTTTCTCACCAAAAACAAAACACCGGGAGCCGCAAAACCCTTTTGATATCTAAAATGAAGATAACACTGCATATATCCTTTTTTATCTTTATTATAAGTGTGTGTGTGTGTGTGTGTGTGTGTGAGAGAGAGAGAGAGAGAGAGAGTGTGTGTGTTTGTGTGTGTGTGTGTACACACACACACACACACACACACACACATTAAAAATAAAAGTAAAAATATGACTCTTGGGAATATCCATACTATTAAAACAATGATCACCGAGAGAATGCTTTAAGAGAATAAAATTACATACACACATAGGTAAAAAAAGGATATATGCAGTGTTATCTTCATTTTAGATGTCAAAAGGGTCTCTCTCTCTCTGTCTCTCTCCCTCCCTCCCTCTCTGCCCTTGGTCTGCCACTCCTCTTCCCCCACTCTCTTTCTTTCTCTCTCTTTCCTCTCTCTCTCCCCCTCCCTCTCTCTCTCTCTCTCTTTCTCCCCCCCCCATCTGCTGCTCACCTGGCAAGCTTCAAGTTGTTCTCCAACAATCTCAGGGGTAGGCAACCTCGTCTCTTTTATGACTCATGGACTTCAACTCCCAGAATTCCTGAGTCAGCCTAGCTGGGCTAGCTAGCTCTCTCCTGCCCTTCCTGCTTCCTGCTTCCTGCAGAGACGCAGCAAAGGGAGGAGCTCTGCCCAGTAAGCTTTTCAGCTCCTCGGAGAACAATGTGAGTGCACTCTCTTTTACACATATATACACACACACACACACACAACACACACACACACACACACACAGAGAGAGAGAGAGAGAGAGAGAAGCAGGGAAGCGCAATTGCCTCTCTCTGTCTCTCTCTGCAAAGGCAGAGGAGGCTGGGAGCCACAGGGGAAGGCTCAAAGAGCCGCATGCGGCTCCGGAGCCGCAGGTTGCCGACCTGTGGTATAGTCCTTTAGAATGTTGTGCTTTAGAATTGGAAAGTTTTTGCTTTAGAGCAGGCATGTCAAACTTGCAATGTCACGTGATGTCGTGCAACGTATCAGGCCAGTTTTGCCATTGCTGGCAATGGGGTGGGCGCAGCTTCCACGTGACGCGTCCGGCCCATGGACTGGCAGTTTGACACCCCTGCTTTAGAACAGGAATTTTCAACCTTTTCACCCATTGTACCACTTTTAGGATAAGGCAACATCCAAGTACCACCACTCGCCCAGCAAATGTCAAAAACCTGACCCCTCCCTCAAAAAGGAAAAAAATGATAAAGTATAGGTAGTCCTCGACTTATAACAATTTGCTTAGTGACTGTTCAAAGTTACAATGGCAATGAAAAAAGTGACATATAACCATTTTTCACACGTATGACTGTTGCAACATCCCCAGGGTCATGTGATTTACATTTGGATGCTTGGCAAATGATTCATACTTATGACATTCACAGTGTCCCAGGGTCATGTGATCACCTTTTGCAACTTTTTGACAAACAAAGTCAATGGCGGGGGGGAGCTTATCACTCAGGTTGCAGGGTGCCTGTGTAAGGGGAATCCATGGGTCTCTGGTGGAGGGGGGTAGGACTGGGGTGGGTACCCTCCTTCCCTTCCTCTCTCCCATTGTCCCTTCCTTCCATCCTTCTTTGTCCCTTCCTCCTTCCCTCCCTCCCTTCCATTGTCCATCCCTCCCTCCCTCAGGTTGCAGGGTGCCTGTGGGGGGAATCCATGGGTCTCTGGTGGAGGGGAGTGGGACTGGGGTGAGTGCCCTCCTTCCTCCCATTGTCCCTTCCTTCTTCCTTCCCTCCTTCTTTGTCCCTTCCCCTCCCTCCCTTCCATTGTCCATCCCTCCCGCCCTCAGGTTGCAGGGTGCCTGTGGGGAGGAATCCATGGGTCTCTGGTGGAGGGGGTGGGACTGGGGTGGGTGCCCTCCTTCCCTCCCTCTCTCCCCTTGTTCATTCCTTCCTTTCTTCCCTCCTTTTCCCTTCCCCTCCTTCCTTCCATTGTCCATCCCTCCCTCAGCTTGCAAGGTGCCTGTGGGGGAATCCATGGGTCTCTGGTGGAGGGGGGGTAGGACTGGGGTGGGTGCCCTCCTTCCCTCCCTCTCTCCCATTGTCCATTCCTTCCTTTCTTCTCTCTTTCTTTGTCCCTTCCCCTCCCTCCCTTCCATTGTCCATCCCTCCCTCCCTCAGCTTGCAGGATGCCTATGGGGGGGAATACCATTGTCCCTTCCTTCCTTCCCTTCCTCCCTCCCTCCCTCCCTCCCTCCATCACTCAATTTTAATTTCTTTGATGGTGGTTCCTTTGCTGAATCACTTTCCTTTTGCGGTTGCGCTAGGTGCAGCCGGGAGCCCAGCACAGCTGCCGTTCTTCCACAGGGGGAGGAATGCAGGGGGGTGGGGAAAGAACTGCGGCTGCCGGACTCCCTCTGGTGTGTTTCACACAGCCACAGCCAGGAGAAAAGCAGCGAGTGGGGAAGCGGCTCATTCATTGCTGCAGCCAGCCCCGAGGAAGAGCCGGCACAATCCCCAGGCGAATCCCCCCTGGCTACATTCTTTGTGGCTGAAAGAACGGCTTTGATCCCGCTTCCCCTTCACTCCGGCCGGGCCCGTGAATGCCAGATTCAAGAAAACTGCCTGCAATCTGCCGGCCTCCCCTCTGGCCTCGGGCAATACCTCTGTTTTGTGCACATGCGTGATCAGCCTCCCCATCACTGCCGCTGCCCGCAATCTACCCGGCCTCCCCTCTGGCCCCGGGCAGCACCTCTGCCTTGCACACACGCATGATCGGCCTCCCCATCGCAGCTACCCGCAATCTGCCCGGCCTCCCCTCTGGCCCCAGGCAGCACCTCTGCCTTGCGCACATGCGCATGCAATCAGCCTCTGCACTGCCAGCACCTACATCTGACCAGCCTCCCCTCCGCCTGCTTTGCGCAGCTCCTCCTGGGCCCCCCGTGCCTGCCGTTAACTCTCCCACCACCATGCAAGATAAGGTTGGTGCCCTTGCCCCTGCCCAGATGCCCTCACCTCCCGCAAGCATTTTTTTACTCACCTGCTTTCAGCTGCACTCCCTTTCTCCTTTTGCTTCTCTGTCTTCGCCACGTGTTTGTGGGTAAAAAAGAAAAAAATTTCCATGAGACTTTCTAACTTCTCGCGAGAAGTTAGAAAGTCTCATGGAACTTTTTTTTTGTCTCACAAACACATGAAGGCTGAGAAGGAGAAAGGGAATGCTGCTGAAAGCAGGTGAGTAAAAAAACGCTTGGGGGAGATGAGGGCATATGGGTGGGGGTGGGGGACCCAGGCAATGCATCGTGTAGCTCCAGCAGAATCTCCACTGAAGACTGTGAGGCTGCCTGCCACCCCCAAGGCTGCCGCCAATCAGCTGGAGCTGCGCGCTTTGATCCTGGGTTCTCAGTAGAAATCAGGCAACGTGCACTTCTAGCTGACTTTGCCATAAGCCTGTGCGGCACTGCTGCATTTCACCTCATCCACTTTTACACCTTTTTTCTCTTTTTTTTTTACATTTTTTAACATTACATTTTTAAACATTTTTTTTACATTTTTTTCAACCCGTCCTACGCATAGCACCAGCCAGGTGCTCGCGTACCACTGGTGGTACGTGTTTCACTGGTCAAAAAGCCCTGCTTTAGAAGAATGCCTGTTCATTTTTTTTTCTGCTGTTGAATCTGGAGCACAGATGGATATAAATCATTTTTTTCATAACTAAAATCAACGAGTTGGGAGTGTTCCTTTCAGATTCAAAAGTTTAGCCTGACTTTCTGGCAGGAAGAAATGGAGTCAACTTTTGTTGGGTCCATTATTTGATGACCATAAAGAGTTCACAGTAAACCCTGTGCCTAGTTTCACTGCTTTTATTCTGAAAATGGAATGAATAGAAAATCTCAGATTGTCAAATGTTGAATATATAGTATTATTACTTTCTTCCATGATGTAGTAGATTATATATTTTTGTAGATCAATTTACCATTTTAACCTATTACTTCCTAAAGGTATTTATGAAATGAAAGATAATCCTAAGAAGTGGAAATCAAAATTCCCTTTTCCCCAATTTTTCCTATTACAAAATAAATGCTTATTTCAGGTAAGGAAAATAAATAAAAATCTGGTATTGTGCTTGCTTTCTATATGGAAAAAATGTTTTAAGCAATTGTGCAATTTCTACAGAAATATATTTTATTTCATGATATTGAAAACAGTCAATGGCTATAAAATGAACATTATTTTAAAGCATTTTCCACAATTTTGTCCCATTGTATTCCTAAGGCAACAAATTGGCTGCTGGTTACAGGTCTTAACATATTTTTGGTTAATCAAGCTTGGTTTCTCATTAAGCTAAAATGTTTGTGGAACCATGCAAACTCCATAGACAAGGAAAATATAATTTAAAGATACAAACCGATAAGAGAGCAAAGATACAAGAAAGAAAATAAGAGAGCCCATTATTTTTAGCATGGCATTGGAATTTAGGCTCATTCTTACAAATATCAGCAGGAAAAAATGTTCAGATATTACTTTGTGTGAAGTATGTGATTATAGTTTATTTTTCAAGAAGTCTTTAACTGTATGTTACCTGTCTATAAAAAAAAATACACCTTTACAATTTTTTTTTAGGTGTTTCAGTGTGGCAATTTTGCTATCATTAGTAAAGGCATATAGATCCATTTTCTCTTTGTCACACATAAATGCTTTTATTTTCTAAAACAAACACCACTGTTATTTAACAGTGTTAAAATAATATACTGTTCATGTGTTTCACTAACACCATAAATAATGGAAATATAGCATACAGAAATATATTTTATCTATATATAGAATACAGTGCTTAGATAGATATTAGAGCAGTGGTTCTCAACGTTTGTGTGACGGCGACCCCCGTCACACAAATGTTCTGCGCATGTGCGGCGCCGCATGCATGGGGGCGCCGCCCCATGCGCGGCATGCATGTGCGGCGCCGCCCCCTGAGAGGAGAAAATGGCGGATCGCCTTCTTTGGCAACCCCCCAAAAATGGTCGATCGACCCCAAATGGGGTCGCGACCCATAGGTTGAGAACCGCTGTATTAGAGGTTTAAAAATTCCTAAAATTGATGTGTGCACCAGATGTGGCTGAATTAGAACTTTCAACAGCTCCAACTCAGTGTGGCTAATAGTGAAAGTTTCTGGGAATTGTAGTTCAGGCTTTAGCAAACCATATATTTTTCTTCTAATTTAAAGCATTATGTTTATATCATTTTTTTTTCCATAGAACACCCTGTCAGAAGATAGAAATACACTGAAAGAGACAACAACTGATAAAGGTAGATTATATCCATGTGTGCTTGGTGTATTTCATTTCAATGTTCAATGCACACATTCAAATTGATAACAGATATTATCTTAATTCATTATTTGAATTTTGATCTTTAATATCAAAAATGGCATGCGTAAGGCTAGATTGATTTTTACTATATCTGAATCTAGAATTAGTTTTCAATATTGGTTGAATAAAAATACTAGCAAACATTAAATATTTAAAATTTATTTTCAATATATATATGCAGATGTGGATATTATTTCATAGTAAATCACTTAGGCAAAAATTCAACACATATTTATTAGGAACATTTAAATAAATTGTGTCAATAGATGGCAGCACCACCTGGCTAACTTTTTCTGGGTTGGAAAAATAAAAAGGTTGGATCTAGTTAAAACTTGCATGGGAGACCTTTAGGGAATATCAGAACAATAAGAAATTGGGGGGAAATGTGCTGAAGAAGGTAATAATAAATCATTTATACATTGTTATTAAGAAAACTGTCCATTGTTCAATTTGAAGATGATTTTATTAATTATCTTATTGTTGGAGAGTAGTCTGGTTAATTATTGTACTTTTCTTAGAGTTAAGCCAGAGGTCCCCAACCTTTTGGGCACCAGGGACCGGTGCCACGGAGATAGATTTTTCTGCAGACCAGAGGGGGTGTGGTTTTGAATACTACCTGCATCCCGAGGATGGAGCTTTAGCTTGTTTGTGCGGCCCACTTGCTGGCATGCTATGGACCGGTACCAGTCCACAGACCAGGGGTTGGAGACCCCTGAGTTAAGCTATATGTTTCTGTTTTGAAGTAGTTGAGTTTAAATAAATAATTTAAATTTTACAATATCAATTTTGAATCAAGATTCAAATTCGAAATTATCTAGAGCATATTACATCTGGAGGCCACATCTGGTTCTTTAGCTACCCATGTCTGGCCTGCAGCATCAGCATTGGGCAACAGGTGCCAGCGGGGGCAAGACAGGAGTGGTTGGGGCATTGGCATTGGTAGAAGGCAGGGTGAGCTAAGTGGTGACCCTCCACAACTTTCCAGTTTCTCATGTGGTCTCTTCGGAAAATTAATTGGCTAACCCTGATCTAGAGATTATCTAGAATGAATAAACAGCATTTATTGCTTTCTAGTCAGTTTTTTTTTTAATACTGGCAATCTATAACTTACACAATTTTATGTGTATTCATTAATAAATATCCTAGACTGTGAAATGGGATTACTGTATATTTTTATTCATACTCTGACCGATATATCATAGAACCAAATTAATCATGTCTATTTAGCATGTATCTAGCATATGCATAGTGTTTGCTTTACAACTTGTGTTGACATGAATTATACAGTATATTCCTTCTCATGTCAACAACGACTATAAATATTGTAATCTTGGAGTCAGTTTGTTCATTTGGCAAAAAAGGAATTCAGAGTGAATCCTGATATTTTCAATTTAAAATTGGGTATATTTTTAGAAATTCTCCTCCAGGACACATTCTGTTTCCTCTTTTGGCTTCATGAACTGTATTGATTTAACCAATTGCTGTTATAGGCAGCACCAACATTTTTAGCTGATCATCTACTAGGATCAGAAGATCATCTTTCTAATTCTAGTCCCGCCTACTTGTGATTGCTTAGATATTATAAGAAACTCCATATTTTCATATTACTGCTCTTCCTCTATCTTAGAAGAATCAGATACAATGATGATTAAGTTTGTAACTTAAGTTTGTGACTTTTGTATTTTCAATATTTTCTGTAAATGTGATCTAAAGCTTGGCCTGTTCTCTGTACACTTATTTAAAACTAGGTAAAGAGAACACCATTAAATGAATCCAAAATATATTATTTTCAATTATTTCATTTATGGAGGAAAATAATCCAAAGCTATATATTTTGTGTGTGACAAGAGTATGAGAACCTCTATAAATTATCAGTTTATTGTTAATGGAAGATAGTGAGTGTATTTCTGTGGCTTAATTATCATTTGATTGATGTTCTCATGTAAATCACAGGAAATAAACTGGTAATTGTTGACATTTGGAATCTTGACAAATAAGAAAACTCTGCAAGTTGATCACCCAAAATCATAGAACATAGAATCATAAGTCTTAAAGGGATCTAACAGGTTTCTAATCCAACTACCTGCTCAAGGCAAGAGACTTTATACCATCCCAGTCTATTGTCCAATCTATTTTTGAAAATCTCCAAGGATGGAGCACCCACAGATCCAAGAGGCAAGCTATTCCATTGATTAATAGTTCTCACTATCAAAACATTTCTCCTTACTTCTAGGTTGGATCTCTCTTTAACAAACTTCCACCCATTACTTCTTGTCCTCTAGTGTACTGTGGAATAAGTCAATCTGTCACACCTATCCAAGCCTAGACATTCAGGAAAGAAAGACCCTTAACTTCATTTGTAGCAAAATGTATACTTTTACTGAAGCCAAGTAATTACAGTGTAGCAAAGCCAGATCTGAGGATTTCCCACATAACCCAGGTAATTTTCCCTTCTCCCAGACCCTCCCCCGTTGGTCATCTTGGTGGTGTCTATTAAATCAGGTATTTTGTTAAGATTTCCACATTTTGGCACCTGTTTGGATGGGCATTTCGATTCCATTCCCAGACTTGTGTTTTGAATCTTTCAGCCATCGTCCTTAGATGGTACCTCTGGTTCCAGTCATCTCTGCTCTCTATCTTCCCATTCCCCTTTCCCACATTTTATGGCTGGCTGTCAGCAAAACAAAATGAAGCAGGGCTGAAGTGGTTTGATGGTAGATCTAACACAATCCATTCTTCTCTATGACAGTTTTTCAAGAACTGGAAGATAGTTACCATGTCTCCCCCAATCCTTCTATTTAATAGTGAGACATATTTAGCTCCCTCAAACATTCTTCATGCAATTTAGCCTTCAGACACATTATCATCTTCATTGCTCTTCTATATGCACCTTCCAAGCTCTCAGTATCTTTTTTGTATTGTGATACCTGAATAGTATACTGTATTCCAAGTGTTACCTCACTAGAGCAATATAAAGTGAGATTTTCACTTCTTGTTATCTTGATATTATCCTTCTGATGATGCATTAGCCTTTTTTGGCAGCTGTAGCACATTTTTGACTCATACTAATGTAAGGTGCAGTTGGTCAGCAAACTGCAAACCCATCTGTGGTGGTACTGTTATCCTACGTTTTTTTAATCTTATCAATAGGCTGTGGTCTACTTGGTCAAATGCTTTACTGAAGTCCAAGTACACTATGTACACAGTGACCCACTAATTTAATCACCTTATCAAAGAAAGAAAAAAGGTTTGATCTGTTTTTAACAATAACAACAAAAACAATAATAATAATAATAATAATAATAAAGTTGGAAGGGACCTTGGAGGTCATCGAGTCCAACCCCCTGCTCAGACAGGAAACCCTACACCATTTTGGACAGATGGCTGTCCAGTCTCTTCTTAAAAACTTCCAGTCTTGGAGCATTCACCGCTTCCGGAGGCAGGTTGTTCCATTGGTTAATTGTCAGGAAGTTTCTCCTTAGTTCTAGGTTGCTTCTCTCCTTGATTAGTTTTCATCCGTTGCTTCTTCTCCTGCCCTCGGGCGCTTTGGAGAATAGCTTGACTCCTTCTTCTTTGTGGCAGCCCCTGAGATATTGGAACACTGCTATCATGTCCCCCCTCATCCTTCTCTTTGTTCTGTCCCAGCCTACATCCGTCCTTGTTACGTCACAAGAACAAACCCCTCTTAAACAGTCCAAGTGTCCATGAGCACAGCCTCATTCCAGGCTAAATCCTGGCTAAGCAGCCAAAATTCGCTGATATAGCCTTGCAGGGGACGTCGGCCCTGCCTCAGAGCTTTCAAATGTCAGCTAGTTGTCTGGGTCTTGATGGGGTCCTCGTACATCATCCGCATGTCATCACAAAACCCACAAAGTTGTCCACCAATGGACTAGGTTGGGCTAGCAGGGGTTTGCCCCAATGAGCTGCAGCACCAGAGAGAGGCTTATCATAAACCCCACTTTATCACGGTCAATGGGGAAATCAGCAACTCTCACACTGATAAATAGCTGGCATTGTCCCATGAAAACAGGAAACATGTCCAGATTGCCATCAAATTTGTCCGGCATTGCAACTTGGCATTTTCTCCTGGGTGGTGGAGCAGCAGGGACGTGTGCTTGGAGCTGAGCCACTTGGGCTGATAACAAAGCCAGCTGCTGGGAGAGCTGGGCATTCTCAGCATATAGCTGCTCCATAATAGTAGGGGGTTCAGCTGAAGGCAAACTGTTCTGTCCCAGCCTACGTCCGTCCTTGTTACGTCACAAGAACAAACCCCTCTTAAGCAGCAGTCTGAGAAAACCAACCTCTTTTTATTTCCAAAAGAGTCCTGATAAATTTTTCTCCAAAACAAAAAACACAGAATACTTTCCTAACAAATAATTGGTTACAAAAGCAAACAGAGCAGAAGTTTAAACAAGAAATTCACTGATAAAACAAAACAGATCGTGATCCTTGGAAGTTCTTTACAAACGGTTGCCTTCAGCAACCAGCACTGCTCACACCTTCCCTTTTTAAAGCAGTCCCAAGGCGTGACTTCTCAATGCCTTCTCCTCCCCTGGAGTTGTCGTATTGACTGCCGCTGATCTGTTCTAGCTGATCTGTTCAATCATGTCCATCAGCTGTGAATCCTCCAAATCTGACTCAATCTCCCCACACAGCTGAGCTTCATCCGTAACACGACTGAAGGGGCCAAGGCTCTTCATCAGACCGTGAGTCTTGTAATTCATCAGAGCCTCCCTCTGACCCTGATGGCCCTCCAAATGCTTCCTCCATCTCCTCCTCAGAGTCCCCCGACTCAGCTGTTGGGAACACAGGCTGGCATGGAATCACAACAATATCCCGCACCGCAGGGCCCTTCCGGTCTGCCGATCCGGATGCGGTCGGGATGGGAATTGTTCATTAAAGGCGGTCACCAAGGCAGAAGCTTGAACGGTGGTCGCA